CCTGATTCATCTACCTTTTCGCCAAATTTTGCTTGTCTCGCAGTAAAGAGTTGTATCTACTATGAACGATCTTACCAAAGTGCAACTTCGGCTAGTGACAGGGCATTCCATGATAGAACAGCGCACGTTTTGAATCCTTATCGGTCAGCGAGCCCACGATGTGCGCAGCACATGCGAATTTTGTAACTAGCAGCAGCAATCAGTATGGCCTTATCAAGAGCATCGCCCACCATCTGGTCAACCTTCACGAGATGGACTGATATTATATCATGGATGTAGACTCTAGGATCTCCGCAGCATTTTGCGTGCAACATGTCCTGTAAATTATGGACCGGGTAAATAGCACAAGGAAGCTCCTCTGCTGACAAAGAGCAGCAGCTTCAGCCTTTAACGTTTACGAAAGCATCGAGATAACCAAGTCTGTAATGACAACGTGCTTACGATGCGTCGGTTTGTCGACAATTCTCCAACGTATAAGCGGTTGAAGAACTGGCATCGTAAAGCTGCGTGCCGAAGGAGTTTTGTACGCATATCAGCAGGATCGTAGTTGCCTTGCTTGTGAATCCTTTCACTTGCGGTGGTACACGCAGTACCATCAGATCGTATTATCCAAGGACAAGAGTGGCAAGAAAACTAGAACGTCCCTTCACATTTCTTCCACTCTGTACGCCATGGAAGTGTATTATCGTTAGCTTATTGCTTCTTTCTAACAAACATTAGATGTATTGTACTTGCATCTCTATCCGCCTGTTGCGCCGTCGCGTAAAGGCCGACATTTCGGCCACAGCAAATTGTGCTTCGATTTGCTTGTGTCATCGTGAACGCCTGTACACTGAATCGTCTGAGTATTTGAGCACTTAACGTCAGTAGCAGTGGTCCATATGCAGTATCACTAAACTCGGAACGCGCTGTTCACATTGACTGGAGATAGTCCCTGCGGTCCCAGTGTAGTTATAGACGCTGGTGCAGCGGTGGTTTGTATCATCAAGTGCATCGATAGCACTCTGCTCAAAGCTGCTCTGATCGATGTAAACAGATCATGGCATTTAGATGGCGATAGGACAATGCCGACGACACGACGATAGCAGCCATGTGGCACACTGTGAGTCGACGCTTTTTGCGACAAATTTGAATGGCGGACCTGTCATCCTGCATAAAAATCGGGAGGCCCACTGCATCCGTCGGAATAAGCCTTTTTGTCTTAATACTTGGCTCACAATCCGAGTATGCTCCGCAAGGGGTCCCGTTCAGGCGAAGAGCTCCCTCTCATTTGTAGTAATTAACTTCAGTACGAGCGACTGAGTGCCGAGCGTTGGAACGATGGCGAGTGCCCTCCCGCGCCGCATCGTCAAGGTGAGCCGCTCTGACGCCGTCGAGCGCATCCACCCGCTGTGCTGCGTCTTTGTCTTGTGCTCGTCGCGTCCATGACTGACGACTGATGACGGCCTTGTTGTTGCGCTCGCAGGAAACCCAGCGACTGCTCGCGGAGCCTGGTTTGTGGAGTATGACTATCTAGGGGGATCCCCAATGAGTAACGATCCCGTGCGTGTCTAGTCGCTGGCATCAGTGCGACGCCGTACGAAGACAACCTCCGCTACTTTCAGGTGGTGATTGCCGGTCCACAGTCGTCGCCGTACGAGAGTACGTGACTTTGTCGTGTGCGAAGTATAACTATGTAGAGGGATAGCACTGGTGACCGTTCGTGCGATGCGATGTTAGATGGCATTTTCAAGCTGGAGCTGTTTCTACCGGCGGACTATCCCATGGCGCCGCCCAAAGTGCGATTCCTCACGCGCATTTACCACCCCAATATTGACAAGCTCGGGCGGATCTGTCTGGATATACTCAAGGACAAGTGGTCCCCTGCCTTGCAGATCCGCACGGTACTGCTGAGCATTCAGGCGTTGCTGTCGGCGCCGAACCCGGACGACCCGCTCGACAACGACGTGGCGGACCAGTGGAAAACAGATGAGGCTGGAGCAGTGCAAATGGGTGTGTGGTGCAGATGGACCATGAGTCATGGTAAGATTGCCTGTGGTTGTGTTATTTCTCACATGATGGCGTTTTATCGTGTGCAGCTGCAGAGTGGACGCGTCGCTTTGCTTGAGCTTACGAAGAGCAGCAATAAAGAGCCGGCAAGTATGCTGCGTTGGCTGTAGTTTTGCTATCTGGGCACCACATCGTTCCGAAGTATCATTACAATCATGCAAGCACTCGCCGAAGCTTTTGTGGACATTCTGAATCGAGACGCTTGATAAGAAATGAATTTTTGAGCGTTACAACAATTGTCTGACCACATACAGCGAGGCACGTACTGTAGAACAACAGCAGTGCACGGATCACGAAAGTGCCGACTTGACAACGGGTGAAAGATTTTAGGAGGTAAAATATAGGCGACATGCGACTTCGTTTGTCGCGGTATGTTGTCGCCTTTCAGTATGTTGCGGACGTGCGACACTAGCAGGTAAGAAATGCTCGATTTTATTGAGCAACTTGCACTTCATTCAAATCATGTTAGTTAATTGTAATCGAATCTTTGCTTCATTACCGATAAACGGTACTTCGTAATAATGGTTTACTACAGATAATGGAATAAGTGGGCCTAACAATGTCTATCTCAGATTTTGCACACTAAAATGACTAAGTATACAGATCTTCCATTCATAGCTTGTCTTCCGCGAACTTTATAGCCTTCGGGATGTTTAAGGATTGGCCATCCAGCCCCCATTTTATCGTCCGTATATTATGATTTTTCTAGGCGAGGATGAGCTGCGTAGCTATGCCTGTCAAATAACTTTTTGTGATTTCCAGCTTTTTGCGGGATCATAACAAAACTCCATGTATGATACCATCGTCATTAAAAGTACATATGTGATGACAAGAAAAACTTTACCTTCACCACACGTCAAGGTCGGTACGGGTGCTGTGTGCCTGTAAATGTAACGTCAACGGCTTCATAGAGCTCTACCAGAAATGCGATAGATGTTCGATAATTTACTGATATGGAACAAGCATCACGTGGGACGTTAATCTGTTAGTCCGCATGTCTCTTTCCGCATCGGTGCTGCATCTGCACTTTGTCACTACTTTCTCTTCATCTTCTGTCTTAGCACCTTTCAATAAATCATGCCTTGACCATCGCTGTCGAAGGACCGTCATCCTCTACGATGCGATGTAGAAGCTGTAACAATAAACGGGACTTTAGAAACGCGTCAGTATGGAACGAATTTGCTACTTTTGTTTTAGCTGTCCTGTTAGCTACTAATGAACGCATAACATGAAGTCGGTCGTATAGGGAAACGTTTCCAACCCCTTGCGCCTTCGTCACAAACAATGGCATTCTGCAGATGATGGCCGCAATAGCATCGCTGAATGGCTATGTGGTGCGTGTCTATGTCGACTAGATTGTGGGCGTCGTGCTACGTGGAAGATGCTAACTTTGCGTTTGTAAGTTCGGTGTTAACCAGTTTATAGGCTACAAGACGATTTATAAGAGGGAGATACTGTCAACTCGCAACATACAGTACAGCCTCGACAAAGTCAAGCCAAATCTTAACAGTAGTAACGTGTCTCTCGGCTGTGCCGCGTGCCACATATGCCCTGCCCAGAGATTCGGATACAAATCAACTTGTCAGCAGGATTATATTCAGTGAATTTGGGTGTCTTAGTCTAGCATTTTTGGTGGGGAGTGGTGATTGATGGTATGATTCAGCACGGTATACGTATATTATATAAATCTATAATTGCTAACGATCATTTACAGCAAAACAATTATTTAAATCGATTAAATTGATCTATTCAGATATGGCACAATTACAATGTTCAGATACACTGTAATCTCCCCGAGGTTATTGAGCCTACGTGTCTTGTCCATCCTACTAATCGGAGGGTCGAGGGAGCTCGAATCAACAGCATTACAGTTCTAGATGTCCAAATGACTCTTACGGACAACTTACTCTTCGAAGATATCGAAGAAGAATATTGTGCATTGAGGAGGTAATTTTTTTTGTGGGGATCCATTCTTTACGTAAAACCACGAACAAATACAACAAGGAAAGACATGGCGTGAGGAGGAACACCTTATTTGGCGGTAATCTTATCCGACATTCGTAGATCTCGATTACCAGACAAGGGTCGAATCAACGCCTCTGCCTGCAGAGTTGACAATATATTTATATGTAGTTGCAAATCTACAATCGCCTCGTTTCAATTCTTGACATCAGTGGAAAAAATACTTTGCGATGCGGCTGAAGAGTGCGTGAGGTCAGAATACGACGAAGAAACATCCCCGTTTTGTGCACACTTTCGACAACGCTGCTCATCACGCACGTGACGCCGCATTAAACGGATGGTAGCATTTTGATCGAGCCCAGTTTTGCTTGAATGATATTGCCTATATTGTCGAAACGCCTGCCGTCGAAAAGCTGCTCCTTTGCTGTGCCCTCGTCTCCAAGCACACTTAGCGTTAGATGAGCAAGATCGTGAATGCTGCCCTGTAGGCAACAAGAGGTAGCGGGTGCAAGATACGAATGGGACGGAGGTCAGATGTCGTCTCAGCAGCAGAAATCGAAAAAGGTGCTGTCTACCAGTGTGGTCTGAACGGATTCCAAGGACATTTTCGCTTCATGTTTTGCTTGCTACGTGTAGCATCCGGACAGACCATGATGCATGCTACATTCTCGTTATAGTAGGTCTTCATGCATTTGCGCAGTACAGCGATGATGGTGTCGTCGAAGGCCCGTCACCAAGGTGCATGCTAAGCACCATCATCATTCGCGGTAAAAAGTCAAGAAAGAAACGGATACGACATCGATTTGACAGTACGTGAGGTGGTAGACATGCTGTTTTTGTGTTCGTTTTGGTCGGATGAATGAATATGGATCTCTACGTCTCCTTAAATGTCGTGCTCGCTCTATTATAAAGTCGCTATCTTCATAGGTTCTACTTGTGCCGGTCCCAGCGACGCAAAGCCCATTCGACGCTCCCCATCGCCCGTCCAAATGGTCAAAAAGTCCCGCAAGGCGCTGCACATTGCTCCGCCGCGCATGAAGTCGCGCCGCAAAGCGCGTCAAGTGACTACGACGTTCCATCGGCTGACGCACGAACTCGCGCGACTCGAAAAGGCGCACGTCGGCGCCACAGGGCCGCCGAAAGAGCGCCTCCAGCAGCGAATGGCCGCCGTGCACGAGCAATTAGCGGCAATGGGCGGGCACAAGACCTATCAGGACGCCAGTATCTTGAGCACGAGCTTCCACAAGACGTCCAAGTGGGTCTTCCAGCTCCTCACGAGCTTCCAGCTGCGACCGAAGGCCAAGCAGCCGCCGCTCCGGGTGCTGGAGGTCGGAGCTATCAACACGCAGTTACTGGCGTGTCCGTGGCTGCACGTGCGGGCCATTGACCTCCAGTCACGACACGACCGCATCGAGCAGTGCGACTTTTTCAGTCTCAAGCCCGCGAACGAGTTCGAGGTCGTTGTGTCGAGTATGGTGCTCAATTGCGTCCCGGGAGCTGCTCAACGGGGCGAGATGCTGCGGCTGTCTCGAGCCCACTTGAAGCCGCGCGGGCTCTTGTTCCTCATGCTGCCGCTCTTGTGTTTGCGTCGCTCGCAGTTTATGACGTACGCGCGGTTTACCGACATCTTGCAGGCAGTCGGCTTCCGAGTTCGGGAGACAAAGAATTCGCCCAAGGTCGCCTTCTTCTGCTTGGAGAGGACCGAGGCAGTGAGCGAGACGGCGTCGTTTCCACAGACGCTTCTGGTGCCGGGTGACAAGCGCAACGACTTTAGCGTCACGATCTAGACGGCAAACGGTGGCTCGGCGGTGGTGTACCTACTACTATTCTGACTCACTACCTGCTTCGTCGCAACACCTATCCACTTGGAGACTGCACTTGAGCCTCGTTGACGACTAGCGCCTTAAAGTGCAGCATACAGTCGTCGCGTGACTTTGCAGGGTTGGACAGTTGCCATGCTACAACGCGGTCTAGCAACTCTTTCATCTGTGGGCCTGGCTTCACTCCAAGCTGCTTGATGAGATCATTGCCCTGACAAGGTGTGCACAACAGATAAGCACGAAGAAGATGAGAGTCAAATCGAGCAGATGCGGGATCAGATAGCAAACTTACATCGAGAAGCGGCTTGAGTTTCCAGGCGCTATCCAAACCAGCGTCCAGAATATACGAGATGAAGCTGTCGAAGCGCTTCGATACTGTTGCCCGTGCGCCAGCAGAGTCGCTGTCTGGTCCGAGGTCCGCGAGTTCCTGCACAAGCGCTACATTGCAGCAGATGTCCCACTGAGCGCCAACGCTGCGAACGAGAAGACCTATGTTTGACCGGTCGAACGGCTCGCTTGTCACCGCCTGAAACTTTCGGACGTGGGCCAACACGTTGTCCACGTCCTTGGCATCTCGGTTCGGCAGCTTTAGTGCGTCTTGGACGACGAACGTAGCAACTGATCGGCGGCGCTTGTCGCGCACACAAAGTCCGCAGTACGGCAGCAATACACACGCCAACACACGGACTTGCAGCTCGTGTTTCTTTTCCGACGTCAGACTGTCGACATCCAGCACTCCGCCTGATGTCAACAACCGGCACATCTCCGACACGTAAGCGTAAGAGCGGTCCCACGCGTTTTCGCCCACTGTCTCCACTTCGCCGTCTGAACGACAAACAGGCATTTTTTCGAGCAACGATGACGGCAAAAACACGCTCTCACATAGTTTAAGTTCATGCAAGAGCTGCACGGCACGTTCAGGGCGCGCTGCGCTACCGGTGAACATGCCACAAATCTCCTTGCCCACCCGTTCCCGACTGACCTTCCGCACAAGTGCCACTCGAACTTCCTCCATCTGCGCTGCTGCGCGCAGGTCATCATCTAATGTGCAGCTAAATCTCGACGCGAAGCGCACTGCGCGCAGCACACGCAGCGGATCGTCGAGAAAAGTCATGCGCGGGTCCAACGGCGTCCGCAGTCGTCGCTTCTGTAGATCACACAGCCCTTGTCCAGTGAAATCCTCAACTTGTCTGGTCGCCAAGTTGTAAAACAACGCGTTGATCGTAAAGTCGCGCCGTTCAGCGTCTTGTTGCGGAGTCCCAATGGCCACGGTCGGAATCCGATGGTCCTCGGACGCATACGTCTCTGCTCGGAGATTGACAAAGTCCACCCACCCAAAGTCGTCGCGCATCTGCATTGTGGCCGTCTCCAAGTGTTTGCTCTGCTCGGGATTGGCCTTGATCACGCCCACCGCTCTCGCCGCACGGCCTTGAGCGGTCTCGTACACGTTGACCAGGTCAGCAAAAGCCCGACCCGTCATCACGTCGAGCACAACGTCCACGTCGTCGCTCTCTCGGCCCAGCAGCTTGTCCCGCACCCACCCACCAGCGACGCGCAAGACAGCGCCGTTCGCCGTCGGCTGTGCGGCCACGTCCAAGAGGAGCGAAAAGAGCGTGTCTTCTGCTGGCGTGAGCGTAATGTCGGCGGACGCGACGCTGCGGCCCATCGACGCGTGCGACACGGAGCTGCTGACGCGCTGCTTCTTGTCGACAGGAGAGAGGGGCGCAGCGGACGGGGACGACGAGGTGGGCTGCGGACCAGCCGAGCGCTTCATGCGGCCGGCTACAAGAGCTGTTGGGTGATGCGTGGCTGTGATTGGTGCGTGGGGTGAGACGAAAGTCTGTGATTGGTGCGTTGGGTGGGACGAAAATGAGTGAGCGAGGGACTTGTTTTTGACCAATGAGCGTCGACGTAGGAATAGGGTGGACGACGACACAGCGGCGACAGAGGTGACGAGAGCGAGTCGGGCGTTAAAGGCGCGGGCGGGCGGTTCCCGAGGCGTTATGGCGTATCTGGTGCGTGCTATGTACTGTTCATGCGTGAGTGGCGGTGACGAGAGTCTGATGGACGCCGTTGCGAGCTCGCGGTAGGACAAGACCCGGAGACACAACGCCCGGACAGATGTGAACAAACTGTTTTTGTTGAGCACCATCCGCAGGTTATACTTTGTGTTTGAGCTGCGCGTGTGCGACAAGTGGCGCGTGTTCTCGTGTCTCTTGGGGTAGCACGAATGCTGACATGTGCAGGAGATCGTGTTGGCTGTCTGTGGCCATAGTGTGGACTTGCATAACCGACGGCAGCAGGAGGACAAGTGCTGGTCAATGCGCCGCATGGAGCGAAAACTCGACGCGTCAAGAGACGAGTGCAGGCCCAGGACGACGAGCCGACGCCGGGACGAAAAGACGAGACGTGAGGCAAAGCGACGACGCAGTCCAAGCCGAAGTCAAAGTCCGAGTCGGAGCAAGCGGTGCCAGGAGGACCGGAAGGCACGTGGACGCAGCTGTAGCTCTGGTGGCGGGTACAATAAAACGAGAGAAGATCGAGATGCACGAAGCTACTGGGCACGAAAGAAGGCTGAAAAGAGTGCAGCGATCTGGGGAAATTTGTACTCGAAAGGCACTGTCTCGACGGAGAACGCGCCTGCCTTTAGTAGTGAGGCAGAATCGACCGACGATGACGTGAAGCTGGCAGACGTAAAAACGTCGATAGTACCCGAGCGTAGCAGGAAGAAGCACAGGAGAGACAAGAAGAAACGTGATGGAAACAACGACAAGGTAGCGACGAGGTGAAACAATGAAGGATCAACAACATACATAACAGCGACGAATGCGAGCTTTAATTGAAGTAAAACGCTTTAGCAAGCTTTCTGCATGCACTAGTTCCACGTTGACAAGGCCTGGTAGGTTGCGAATATCATCGTGAAGATGCCGATTCCAATGATGATGTTGTTCAAGGTGCGGCCTTCCTCCAAGAGTTTTGAGTGAAACAGGCACGGGTAGATAAAAGCCAGCGGCACGGAGCAGAATCCGCCGATAAGTGCCACAAAGTTATCGAGCTCTTCTTTTCCGTAATAAGCGACAGCAGCAGTGAGGCAGACTAACGCAAACCGAAAGCCGTTCTTCTCCCAGCGCCAGTAACCCTTCTGGCTGTGGCTAGGAAAGAGGTAGCCTTCTAATATCTTGATCACCGGGTAGAGCATGAGCGGGTACGTAAGCACCAGAGCAACCGAGTACGTGATTTGAACCGACATGGTAGCGACACTGACTTGAGCACTAGGCAGGTTCATTGTGACAACGGACTGTGTGTTTTGACCAAATGCGGCATACACGAGCCCAGCAAACACCGAGAAGAGAGTCACGAGGAACATCATCGTGTACGCAAGAATGCGAGGGAACTTGTGCTTCGTATCGTGATCCATGGCGTCATAGATCGGCAACACCAGTCCAATGCCTTCGAAGCAATACACGGCAGTACCCAGCAGCATGGCCCAACTCTTTGAGTTGAAGTTTTCCCACGTACTACTGTCAGGTATCGCATCATCGAGCGTTTGTACCGTGTAAGATATGATGTACGCGATGCCAAACAGGATGAGGAGATCGGCAAACAGGTTTGTCAGCGCAAAGTATTCGATGCGACGCACCCACGACAGCGGCGTATAGAGCAAGATTTGGAGCACAATGAGCGTCAATGACGAAGATGCAGTCGTTCTCTGGATGCCAAACGCAGCCAAAATGACCTCGCCAATATTCTTTTCCACAAAAATCAAGTACGAGCAGCAGAATCCAAGCTGCGAGAGCACGAGCGAGATATTCACGGCCACGCGGCCCATTTTGCCAAACGCTTTTTCACCAACGAGACCGTATGATACGTTTATGTGACCGCGTTCACGTTGCACGAAATTGGAACAGTCAGTCAGGCGCAACATACAAAATGTCGACAATATTGCCGAGACGCTGAGTGCTCCGAGCGAGAAGAGCATTCCTCCATTCTGGAACCCCTTGGGTAAAAACAGGATACCGCTGCCGATAAACGATTTGAGGATCGTAAACACCGTCTTACCAACTGTCGCACCAGGCTGCTGCTTCTCGGGTCTGCGTTTCCATGCACGGCTCAAGAGCGGCGTGGTGGTTTCCTACAATATCGTACACCGAGGCTTACGTCAGTCACATGCAACGACCAAGATCAGCGCGCTATTGCATCCCGTACGTCTGAATCGCCATCGTCAGCTACCAGGTCAAGACTGGCCACGATAAAGTCACCGTACGCTGACTGCAGGAATCCTCTCGTGGGCTGAATCGACTCGAGAAAAGAGTCCTGCACGCACGAAGGCACCTGTGGACTGTCGCCTTCGAGGTTTGCGATCACGTGGTCGCGACGGAATCCTCCCGGTTGGGCAATGTCCGACGCTTTGCCTGTTGAGCAGGAGCAGCAGCACATGAAAACGCGTCACTCGGCCATCTTCTTTACGCCCATACGATTGCAACAAGCACGACGCACCAACGTCTTCGTGAAGGATCTCACTCTGGTCGGGCAACGACTTTGGACGTGGCGGTCCGTCCTGCGTGTCCTTGAGGATGGCAAAGAAAATGTCGCGCGTCATGTCGGACCCCTCTTCATTGATGTCGTGCGGTCCGAGTGCCTCTCTGCTGAGACCGGACACAGGCGGCTGTTCGTCGGTTTCGTTCGTCATAACGAGTTGCGCTACTCGACGAAAGTGGCAGTGGGGAGCTGCTCGACGTGCACCACATAGAAGTGCACCTACTTGCGATGAGTGGTCCAGGAACTGTTTTGCAATTTACCAAATGCGTACGCTTATGAGTGCGGGCACTTACAATTAAAATGCAGGGAATTTATATGCAAAATAAAAGTTAAGGGTTGTGAAATGCGTTACATTGATGATAAGAAGAAAAAACGAGTCTGAATTGAACAATGTAAAATACGCACTTCCAGGTGTGGTAAAAACCTGAATGCACAAGATAATAGGAAAGCGCGTTGCTTATGCATCGTTAACTACTGGATATACAAACAGGCGAGGGATCACATAAACAATTTCGATTTTCGCTGTTATTTCTATAAAAATCTATTATAAAATATAAAAACAGCATTCCGGGCGATTTAAAGGTGTCGTAGTTGTGAGGATGGAGAAAAGTACGAAGCCTAATGTACTTTTTTTGCTTTTCTAACCATTAGCTATGTTTTGTGCATCTCACCTTTAATAAAATCGCCTATCCTATGTTTAAACCAAAATGTTTGTCATCCTTACTGCTTGCACAAACGATGTAAGAAATGAGACCGGTTTATGGTCTGGATTCATATACCCTAGCGAATATTAAATGCTTACTTCGTTTTTTATTCATTTTGTTTCTAAAAAGCTTACAAAAATAGGAAGACCGTGGCTACCCGATGCAGCAAGCAATATTTCTAAAAATTTAAAGGCCACGACTAGGGGCACACCCAATTTTTGCTACGGGCACACCCGCCCGGCTAAAAAGATGATGAAGTGGACTTCACAATTTATGGTGCAGAATAAGTAAACACGTAGTCACTTAACCTGCTCGATATATCTTAACCTAAAACATTAATTGATCTCATGTGCGAGATCGTATCAATCCATCTTGGCCAGGGCGGTGATTATACGAATGAAGCCTGCTGGCGTCTCTACCGTCTCGAAGACGGTATACAATCCATAGATACGATGCCAAGATCTAACCATTGACAGAGGCAACGACATTTGAGTTTCTACGTGTGCACAGTCACGAGTCGTTATTAAGATGTTATCAACATGTATTATCTTGGCATGTGGCTGCCGAATTAATCTCTTAAAGTACGCCAAACAATACACCATGTTTCTCATGAATGTTAGCGATTTTAATGACGTCAAATGACAGGTGCGCCTCTGCAGCACCTCCGCTACTCCACAAATACAATTTGATTAAGAGTTAATGCGATGCCAATAAGCACAACAGTGACCATCCACAGCTCGTGACTGAACTCGGACGTTTTTTTCCAGCTGCAGTGGACGCTGCTTGGAAATACCTCTGCTCATGGCTGCCTCGGTCTTACTTAGCGGACAACCACCCCAGCGTATTTTCTTCTCCTTCTTCTCATCTGTTCTGCTTCTTTGTTCTTTAACATCAACATGGCTTGACGAATTCTCGCATCTGTTCAGTGGTGAGTTAAAGCTCGAGTGATCTTCTCCAGAGATTCCTTAAGGCACAAACGAGCACGTACGGCGTGCAGTATTTGTAAAATTACATCTAACGTCTGTGACGAGGTACGTACTAATCCATACCGTTGATCGTTCACCCCGGTCAGAAAATTTCGAGTACGAAGATGCTAAAAACGGTTACTTACAAGGTCATTAAGCGATTGGAAGGGTATGATGACCAGGTACTATACCGGGTGCAAAAACTTGCATGGGTTGCACAGAAAGGATATATGGCTGACAATGCTTGGGTTGGAGGTACATGATTATGACTGGGTGTGCTCTAGCTTGAACGGCTATCAGTCAATTTATAGTGGCAAAGGTAAATTGGTGTTTACTATTTTTCTCCTTGATTATGGTCTCGTCGGAGTTTGTGGAGTCTTGTAAGTCAATTTTACCTGCACTCTATGATCGAGCACACGAATGTGGTTGAAGCGCTGGGTAATGAAGCCATCTGTAGCTCGATAATCAATCCAAATCAAATTATAGCTCAAGCAATATTCTCGCTGACGACGTCGCTGCATTTTGATGAATTGCGGATGCAGACTTGGAAGGCGAGTTATAATTTGGACATCTCTTCGAGTTTTTGCGGCGACCGACGCCACCACATGAGCTAAATGTCTCCGCTTTCCTCCGCTTCTGCGATTTTTCCACGCATTCATATCCCGACAAATTTCTTTTTGTCGAGGTGCTTGGGCGGACCTTTGTCCTCACAGCTTCCGGATCCTTAATCTGACAGGGCAACAGCTGGGAAAGATGGTGGAGATGCTCAATAGTTGCTCTCTGTTGGTGGTCCGGTATCTTAGCCACATTGTAGGCAATTTGTATCATCACAACAGGCAAATGATCTTCGGGTTTCTCACAGCATCAGGACAAAGAGAAATACGTTCCACAATGTGACAATGGGGATGAAATTCGATCAAGCTTAATCGCTTATCCTATCTGATCAAATTCCTGAGCCGGTGATGGCATGGCATACCCCAGACTGTCGTGAACGCATGGGAGCATATCTTTTCACCAGATTGGACCGGTCTGCGTGCGTATTCCAGCTGCAACCAGATCAAAAGGTAAATAAAGAGATGTTAAACTTTGGCAGCATCATCACATGTTTGAATTGCCTTTTCGTTGACTTTGCTTAAAGCAAAATTTGAAACGCTTTTTGTGACTGTCTGAAAGATGTCCGTCTTCGGGGAAGGGTAGGCAAACAGAGGGGTCTGTATTTCATCACTCGCTCGCGCGTTTTGCGCGGTAATATGTCAGGAAACCTTCAATCGACACCTTGATCCTCTTGCAGTATTGCAACAAATTAAGCATGATCGTGCCTAAATACGTTTTTAGCCGTCTGTGAGCGCTTTCACCACGTGAAGTAACAGCATGCCCAAAGTGAGTAACGTTTTTGGTCCATGCCGCAACAAACCTTTTCTTGTGAGGACATATCCACGTGTCTTCCAGGTATTTAAGCGCCTTCTGGTACATTTGATAGCGAGTGTGGAAACTGGACCAGAGCTCTTTAAATAGAGTTTCTGTCTGCATACACTATCTAAAAATGATAATATTATGATAAATTACAAGTTTGGTGAAAGTTGCAAAATAAAAACTTCTTCCCGCTGCCCAGTCTTTCACGAACTGTTCGTGATTGCTGCCAAGACGCCCCTTGTAGTTCTTGGTGATGTTCTTATCAATATTCTACACACACAACAAAATAGAGGGCTCAGGAAATTGATACTGCAATGCCGAGATCAAAGCAAGTTCTCGATCAACTGCAACGACTTTTGGCAGAGCATCGATGTGTAAACGTTCGTACAAGAACCCAACATCGGTCCTGCACGATTCTTCGTTCTTGTTCTTCATGAAAACGAAGACCGCGGAGAATGTGGTGTGCAATGCGGTGGAACTGACGAAGTAAAGGAGATGCAACGGGTTTTGTTTGTCTTGTAGGTGTATTCCAAGACTCACACGTCGTGATTGAGTCTCATTGACTCCACCATTGCCGGGTGTGCAAAAAAACAATGGGTTACATGTCCACAATCGTCCAAAACCAGCTCATTTCATAGGCCTCATCCTTGAAAGCTTTGACCAGCACTTCGACGGACTCTTGCCGTTAAGCTCCTTTTTTCAGCTGCTGAATGGTGTTGTAAAGCTTTTTCATGGGAACCTTTACGCCATGTGTCACTTTCAACTGATTTTAAATGCTTCGTGGAGGCACCTTTGCGCCAATCAGTCCCTTGATAATTGCAACCAGCTCGTGCGAGAGCTTCAGGTGGGCTGAATGCCCAGCCAGATGCAACGAAGGATTGTTGTTGTGGTTGGCGGTGGTGATGAAGAAGGTCCAAGTTCCGTCCGCTTTCGCATCGCCGCGCCCTTTAAATAGGCATTCCATCAACCTGCTGGATGTCTGTCGCTTCCTTTCATAATCGCTGAGGTTATGATGTTCTTGTACGTCCCGCCGCGATCGCACTTATAGTAGATCTGTTGAAGACCCCGCCTCGTTTTCTTTGATCTTGCGACGAAGATGGCGTACCCTTGGGTAGACGCAAAACCGTTAACTTCGTCTCCATCTCGTTCCTGGAAGGAAAGCTGGTACTAACGAGAGCGGCTGGTGGGGGTTGGAGATGTTTCAGCGACGATTGTCTCTCTCTCGGGTCTTCGCACTTCATCTTGGTGGTCCAGCTTGTGCGTGTCAGTAGTCGGTGTTCTGTGTTGTATAGTATGCTTATGAGGGGACATAGAAGCAATTGCTCGGCTAAGATAGGTATAAAAGACATGTTCTATCTCTATTATAGTAGATAAAATTCATCTCCTTAACCTCCAGAGCCTGGACCATTCAATCACAGCATTTTGGTTTAGTGGGGTTTTGTTAAACTGAACTCGACTGTATGCGTACATTATTCAGCATTATAATATGTGAAGTCCTTTTCATCATCATTTTAGGCGGGCGGGTGTGCCCCTAGCAAAAGTGGGGTGTGCCCCTAGTCGTGGCCTATTAGGAATGGGTCAGTTTATGGCCGTTATAAATCTAATACAAAACCCAATTTTATTACTCGATCTGTTGCAACTGCTCTTAAGTCATGATGCGATCAAGCATGTTGACTGTCCTGCGCTTTCCTTGGCATTTCTTTGACGGTTTGGGAAGGAAGAGTACCTCCGTACGGAACTTTTGTCGTACTGTGAGCCATACCGGGTTGCTTGGTACGCTTCCGTTCTTAACACCTACATCGGCGTAAAATTCTGTACGTGCACGCATTTTGGGTGCTGAGATTGGCCAAAGACCAGTGCTGGCAAAGCCAGAAAAAACATTTTCTGCCTTGGCAAACACACCATTTTGCCACGCGCTTGATGATAATGAAATGGCCGGTTTCTTGTCAAGCTCGACACATCTTCATCGATCATGAAGCGGTCCACGGAGCGACGCAGACTGGTATTGAAGCGCCTAAAAACAGAGACATCCAAAGGCTGCTAGATGTGTGTAAAGTTTGAAGGAATAA